AGTGACAACCCCAGGGGAAGACTTCCACAGAATCAGCAGATATCACAGCCACCGGAGCTGCCACCTCTCCAGATGACAATGCCAAAGCTTCACTCAGGAATGCCACCGTCCCTCAGCTTACTCCGGAGCCTTAAAATCTGGCACTTCTTTTATATATTCTGCTCCAAGGGAATCACAATTCCTATAACAACCACTTGTGCAGCTCCCACAAGTATTGAGAGTACACTCGGCCTCAGAGGTTTCAATAATTGCCAGTGCTGTGCTAAGGACAATAACTCCTGACCTGTTAGATATCAGATGCACCAAGTTCATGGTCTCACAACATGGAGGCCTGAAGTCTTAAAGCAAGTGTACTGAAAATAATAAGAACAGCTCCAGGCTTTCTAGGAGGTCCCTGAACAGGTGGTCACTGATGCATGTTTAATTTACACAGCAAAGTACATTGTGGATAAAATGTGGCCACACTGTAGTCAACCTAAAAGATTACTGGTATAGCTGCTTAGCTAATATCAACCAAATAAGGAAATGGGCCACATAGCAAGGTACATGGAAAGAAGAAAGGTATCCCTGGAGAGGGCTGGGAGCGTGGGTCCAGATGTTCTGGTCCCCACCTGTGTGTCTGATGCCTGTCTGGGCTCGCTGGGACAGGTGTGCTAATCACGTAGAATTTCAAGTGACCATTCCTCTCCAGGGAAGCCTGGCAATTGTGTCTGCATCCTGAGATCTTGCTCTCTTCAGATTCACCTGTAGCCATGTGTCTCATGGTTTGCACTGACTTCCTCTTGGGTCTAATCTCTATTTACTGTTTTCTGTCATAACTTAGCTGTCTATAGTAGTACCAGTGTCCCAGTTACTGCCTCCACTGTCCAGTGACCCTCGCCTCTGATGCTGAACCTGGTTCCTCAACTACTACCACTACAACCCTTGTGGAACAGACAATGACCACAGCCACCACAAATACAGCCTTAGGAGGAGACACCTCTGTTGCTATTAACAGCACAATACTGCAACCTGTTACAGCTATAGCCAGTAAACTGGCAATGGCCATTATATTACTTCTGCATAGTGAAGGCCATGCCAGGGTTCATCTGCAGCATTTCAAAGGACAGAAACACTGAGAAAACTGGAAAGCCTATGGAAAAGTAAGTGATATATTAACACCCATAAAGGGGGACAAAGAATTAAGTCTTTTTCCATTATAAAAATTTTCAAGATGAAATAAACATAATATGCAAAGTCTTTTTTTTAACACCACTTTCAAATTTGAAAACCAGGAGGCAGAAATTTTAGCTGTCTTAGACTTTGTAAAGACCAACTGGTGCCATATTGGAATTCCACATCTGAAGCTGGCAGCTTACTTGAAACAGAAATCTGTGACATACAGTCTCTCATTGAATGAGCATTCCATTCTTAAGTACAAATTTTTGCACTGGCTTTCCAAACAATTTCATCCATTCCTAGAAGAGTGATATTTAACATCATAGGAACAATATTTTCAAGATACTAAAGTGATATCAGTATAGGTGTTCAATTGCTAACTCGTTGCTTTGATCTAATGGTAATAAGAATACATGTAGACACTTTGTATACTAACATTCTGCCTATTTGTAAGAAAAATTTGATGATGGTCTTGAATGTAATGATGAATATTTGGTATTTGCTCCAATGTCTAATAAAAGAATGTTAGCTGCAACAAAGTATTAAAAAGACCAGGGATGGGGAAAATTGAAGAAGCCTAAAAAATGTAAATGACAAAAATTTGAACTTATTTGTTTTTCTATTTGCTAAGACCTGTATTTTGCAATGACTGAGAGTTATTTACATTGTGTGAAAGAAACCTATATATTTTGTAAAGTTTTAATTAACAGTAAGTAAATTTTAGATGTCTTGGAGTGGAAAAGGATAGCAAGGCAACTGAGTCCAGATTGAACCCCTGTATTATTTGATTAAAGTACCGTTACACTATGCCTTGAATAAAAAAGGCCTCAATGTCAATAATTAAATTTAGGTTTACATGGGTATTTTAGAGTATGCATCAATGAATAGCCTCAGCAGGTGATACTATAAAGGGGATTTGATTCTATGTGTATAGATTATTAGCCTCAGAAACTAGATAAAACTGCTATATTTACCAGTATCAAAATGATTAAAGGGGAAAAAAAGTCTATTAAAGGAAGTGGATGCCTACGAGGTCAGCAGCGTATTTATACAAATCATGCAGAAAAAAAGTATTCTTACATTCATTTTAAAATACTTTTCTTTTCCTGTGTTATGAATATATTTTTGAGATGCAATTCCATCCTTTAAGAAAACTATCACCTACTAAGATGAATCCACATGTAGATAAATAAATAACAATATATGCAAAGTGCTAATACAGTGAATTAAAATTTCATTGGAAAGCAGAAAAAAAGAAGATAAGTTCAGAGTTGCACCCATACCTGAGGGATTCAAGCATATAGAAAAATGACATTTGCTTTCCTTTATTTTGTTTTGGGATTAACTCAAACCCAGCAGAGGTGATGATTTTTGTCTCCCCGCCTTAACAAAGGAAGGAGATCTAGAAGCCTGAGTTTCTTCCCTGAGTTTAGGCTTTCTAAGCTGGCTTTGTCTTCATGCACTGTTGAATGAGGCCAGTGGAAGTTAAAGCTGGTTGAAAGAAAAGACTACTTAGAAAGTCAGTGCTGAATTAATCAGAATTTTGGAGCCATTCTTTATTCAAACACAGACTCTTTGTTTAGCTTTTTTGTGTAGGAAATAAAATCTAATTGCTGGTGATAAATCAGTCAATACGGATTATAACTATGCTTCTGAAGCAATTTTTGAAGCTTTCCTATAGCCAAGGAGTCCCTCCAAGCTACATTGTTCCTTACAAAGTGAATTTCACATCTGAGTACTCAAATTTGCTTGCAGAAATAATTACTATTATTCCTACCAATAAAAACATCTCCACCTTACCCAGAGATGATTTCCCTGGTGGAAACAATTATTAGAGCAGCAAATACTGAATTCCAAGCTTCAGAAACTACAAATGTCATTGCAGAGTCCATTGTTGAAATAGAAAAAATATTATCTAGGTTTCAAAAAATTTATCTTCCACCACAAGCTAACAAGCTTGAGGAAGACATTTTTTTAGGGGCTGATATTCCTCAGTTGCAGATGAAGACACTTATCCTAAAGAATATCTCTAAGGAACTTACACTGTTTTTAAAAAGTACATCTGAGGTTACTAATGACTCTTCCATAAAGCTTCTTCCTTGGGACAGAGAAGTGGAGACCCCACAAGCCAACACATTCTTTAAATATAGTGATCTCAGTCATGTACCAACATTCCAGCCACTGGAGGAGAACATGTGGATGGTGGCATAACAGTTTTCAAAATCAACTTCACTAGTTTCTTTCACTGTTCCTGAAGATGGAAATTACTTGTAAGTGCAGATATTGAACATAAATTTTCTTAGCAACTCTATAATAAATATAATCACAACTGAATGTTAAGAACTGTGTTTTCTCCAATAAATTTTTAAATCTGGAGACATATAAGCTTTTTCTAAAATAGAAATTCTACTGTCCTTGAGAGCTACCACTTGTCTAATAGTTGATTCTTTTAAATTGCACCCGATAATTCTTCAGATGAATCACAAGGTATTTGCCACTCAAAGCCTTAGCAGGGGACATCACTGTGAGAGTAGCATTCACAAACCTGGTTCTGAGGACTTCTTTGCTTGTCAGGCATCCCTGAAGACCATCAGTGTGCCTTCTTGTAGTTTAGTAAGAAATCTCTCATTTTTGTTAGTATGTTCCCCCATTTTTACATTTTTAAAAAAGGCTTTTACCATGAATTTGGGGGGAAAATAGAGTTTTAAAAAGGAATAATCACTGAATCAAACATCCCAAAGATCAGACCAAAAAAAAAAAAAAAATACCTATTAGTCAACTAAGATTTTGTTACAGCTGCTGGCATAAGGCAGACATACTCTAAAAGACATGTCCATAGAAATAATCTTGTACAAACAGAAAGGAAAACATGATGGAGGGCAGGAGGAGGATGAGGAAGAAAAAAGAAAGAAATGAGCATGAAGATGCCTCCTGCACACGGGTGGACTCCCTGTGATGTAATCCTTCTGGACTGCAAATGTGTACTAATCAAAAAAAGTAAAACATGATAATTTCCTGAAAAAGTATAAAATGTGACAATTAGTGGATATACACTCCAGCAGATGAAACTACCACTTAAATAAAATAAAACTTATCTATGGAATCTGATTCTCTGTCTATAAGTCAGATAATATCCTTGGTGGCAATCAGAGATTATACTATATTTTCTAAAGAAGTCGGCCTCAACACTGCTAGAATATATGCAGTCCTATAAGGATTTCATCAGATGTGTCTGTATATACTCACTGTGAAGTGACTCCTAATAATCCAGTAACTAACATTTTATTTTTCCTACTGAAAATGTGAGACTTGTCTCTCTGAAAAAAAGAACTGACTGGTCTGTATGTTACTTCATTTTCTTCCTCAGCTTCACTCACTGCCTAAACTGCCATTAATATTTTTTTGGGGGGGACATTTAAGTACCATAAATCTCAATGGAAGATGGTTTCACATCAAAAAGACACGTTACTTCCTTGGAAGACAAACAACCTTAAGATAGTGCTGATAATCCATGGCTTCTAGAGTTCCTACCGCTGACCCCAAGCCCACCAAGTGCCACCAGGCTCTGCTCTGTCTGCTTCCAGCTCCCCTCCAAAGGTACACCCCTTGTAAACAGAGACCCAGTCAAGCCTAAGCTCCCACATATGAAATACTTGGTGTGAGTTTTATTCTGTAATCTTGGAGAACTCTGATATGTTTTTCATCTAATACCAATTCTCCTGCAAGCAGATATCCAATCATAGCAAAGAAACCACCAGCAGCACAGCAGTGTGCATGCCAGCCCTGGGGCTGATGCAACAATCCCCATGATGACCAATGCTCCAGTCACTGGGGTAAGCACTGCAGCCCAACCAAGGATGCCACTAAGCCAGAGGAAAGACCGGAGGGGTGTACACTGCCATTTAGCCCATGGCTCAAGATGGACTGCCAAAAATGTATCCCCATCCTCCAACAGAAAGCAGTAAGGTACCAGCTGAGGCAGCCGTGTTCTTCGGGGCTGACAACACAGTTCCTAAATCAGAAACAACGATCACATCAGAAGGAGATCACATTACTTCAATAAACGACTGTATGCTAGACAGTGATTTTTCAACAACTACAAGCAACAAGATTGCGTCTACAAAGGAAAGACAAAAACCAGAAGATGAAGTTGAGGCGCACATTAAGTCATCAGCTCCTCCAGAGAGAGAAGTGACCACTCCCACTGGCACTATGAACACCACAGCTAAGGAATATCACTCTGAAACTTTCATCCCAGTTAACGTTAGCAAGGGGTCATCACCAGTCGCTACTGTCTCTTTAATAGATTTTTCCACTATAACAAAAGAGGATATCCTCTTGGCTGCTGTTGATGTGGAGGATGAAGAACCCATGCAGCTTGCTGAAGGCTCAGACGGCCTGGCAGAGAGCACTGACAGCCCTGCTCCTGCCGCCAAGAAAGAGGCTGACACTGACAAAGCCACTGATTCTTTTTTTCCTGAGGCTGAAGTGTTCCCCTCCACTGAAGGCAACTTCTCCTCTATTCCTGACATTACAGACCTCACAGAAGAGAGCATAACTGAAGTAAACCTAGTAGTCTGCCAAAAGGACCCCAAGACTGTGGTTTCCCTAAATGACACTGATGAGGAGAAGTTTATCACTGTGTTTGAACTGACCGCCTCTGCTGAAAAACACAAAGGTAACCTGGAAGAGACTCTCAGTGATGAAGAGGCCACCGACGAAGTTGGTGTTTGGATGCAGAGACACAGAATAAAGGGAGCAGACACCAATCCCATCCTGCTGACGGCTGCTGAATCCAGATACGACTTCAGGGTCCCTGCGTCGGCAGCTGTGAACATCACAGGAGATTCAGCTACTGACACCATGGAAGATTTGCCTGAAAACAATACAACAGAATCTGTACCTGAAGACACCGAGACACTTTCTGACCCTGCAAACTATGAGGAAGACACCTCCGCAGCCGAGACGGGCATCTTTAAACTCCTGAAAGAGGACCCAGATGAGTTCATGATGTGAGAGCAGGAAAAGCCGTCAGGAGTAGAGCTGTGCACTGACCTAGCAGCCAGGCCATACAAGCAAGAAGTCTTTCCAGCTGGCAAAAACCTTTCAGGAATGTGGCCATTAAGGCAAGTATTAGACTTAGAAAATGCAGGTGTGTACAAGAAGAGGTCCTACAGCAGGGTGTGTTATGGGAGTGTTAACCACCAGCTGTATGAGAGCTTCCCTAGTGTCACAAAGGCTCAGTGATCTAAAAGTTACTTGTTTTAGTGAAAACATCCCATTCTGGAGACGGCACTGATGAGCCCACTTCCTGTGATGGGCAATGGTGTACGCCACTTTAGCTAAGCCTCAGTATTATATTTTACTAAGAATTAAGGATATGAAGGGAATCAAATTAACGCCTAGAAATTATTATAGTATTGAAAGGTATCCTAAACAATTTCTTCAGTTGTGTTCCATGAGTGGTTCTCTTCTATTAAAAAGAATATTTGCAACTCTCATTATATAAAAAGTAAACCTGTTCAGTAATTGTTTAACATTCATATGTAAGAAACAAGATAAGGCTCTTGTCTTCTACTGAATGAAAATTAATACAAAGCGATATTTCACAAATGTGTTCAGTTGTGTGAAAAATGCCTTTAACATATGAAGCAAGTTAATATTCTTTATCTTAATATCTGTATCCTGAATTTTTGTCATTTTTTCAGGTCCTAATATTGAATACTGTAAACTTCTTATGTTCTTGGTTAGCAGTTCAAGGAGATGTATCTTCATTCCTTTTGGACACAGACTTTTTAGATGGGTCTGTTTTCACTTTACTGATCTCAATAAATCATTCAAGTGCAACATATTCATGTGCATAGGTGTGTTTGATATTCCAGTACCTGACTCTTAAGACACAGGCAAAATTAGCATTCAGTGTGACAGATGTGCACAGTGCATAATGTGTGTGGAGCGTGTGTGGAGTTGGGTGGAGCTGATTCATGTGCAGAACAGATTTCAATTGCTTTTTGATTCCCTTTCCCTTCCCTCCCTCTGTCCTCCACCCTTCTCGTATCCCCTGGCCCTCTTCTGACATGTTTGCATTCCTTGCATGGCTCATGTGCTTAACCTAGCCCAATGCTTTTTACCAGTCTCCTGTCCTTCCCCTCTCTCTGCCGCCCTCTCTTGGTGCCCTTCCCCTCCGAGAATGATCTATCTCCCTGCCTTTCACCATCTATCCTTCATTTTATTTTAATTTTTAATGTTGTACTCTCATACAAGAGAAACCAAGAGATAGTTAAGCTTTTGTGTCTGATTATTTCACTTGACGCTATTGTCTCATGGTGCATTGACTGTCCTATAAATGACTCAAGTTTACTGCTTCTTTTGGCAGACTAGTATTTCACCACGTGTAAACACCACATTGTCTTTATCCATTCAATTGTTGGTGAACATATAAGCCCCTTCCAATACTTACCTGTTGTGAGTTAAATTTTTGTTTAAAGAAAAACTTAGCTCTGATAACCAAAAATAGAAACATTCTATATTCATAATGTCATTATAGTAAGAAGAAAGAAAAAAATCAAAACACTGGCTGAATAGCAAACATTATACAACAAGAGGGGCACTATAGAGATTTACATCACTGTATAGAATATGAACTAGAATAGTGACAGTAGTACATTAAAACTCAGAAACAAAACAAAAATATGATGTAGGACAAAATGAACTACAAAACCGTGAGCTATCATAACTAATCTTGCTCAAACAAGTAAATATTAGGAAAACTTAAGTTGGAATGCTATTTAAAACATTTCTCTAAAGTATTTTTTCATGGATTAATAAAACTACAAGATAGCTGATATCTATCCAAAAGACACTAAGAAATATTAGCACATAAGAAAAAATTCACTAATTTGATTCCATGAATAATTAAAACTGTATCCAAAAATAAATGTGCACTATACCTGACAGGTAATACTATTATTCTATAAATAGCTTCTACAGGGAAAATACTTACATGAGGAGTAAACAACTGATTAATATTTTACCTGAGCAGTGGAGATAAACAACTGATGAACAAATTCAACACATAAAAATATTCAATAGTCAAATTCAAAAAAATGTAACTAAAGCTATTGCATACATTTAGTCACTTAACAATTGGCAATGGATTGTTTTTTTGTACAGGGGATCAAACTCAGGGCCTCACACTTGCCAGGCAGACACTGCCACTAAGCTACATCCCTGGTGCAATGATCACTTAAAAATATTCATTCTTGACTAATTTGCTAACCTGCTTCCAAATTTCTTCAATCTTTCTATAAAACTGGAAGGCAATTGGGCAACTTATATAACAAGTATTAAAAATGTTTAGTTTGATCCTAGCTATTCTAGGATCTCTTAAGAATTTTATTTCTTAAGAATTTTTTTTAAAAAATTAGACATCAAGAAATAGCTGTTATTGAGCACTTAGTACAGATCAGGATTCTGTGTTTAGATTTAGAATCACATTCATCTTCATGATAACCCTAGGACATAATTATTTTACAGTTGTTACTTGCCTGACATTTGACTGTATAAAATGCAAGGTTTTGAATATGCAATTCTTGAGATTCAAGGAATAGGTAGAGACCTGATTCTCAATTGAAGTGAACAGAAAGGACCCTTTTCACACAGTTAGTGTTAGCTTGGACCAAACAGAACCTGAGAGACATCACTGGCCCAAGGTAGCCACGCTAGTGAGGGGCAAAGCTCAGCTCTGTTGCTCTGCACAGCACCAAAGCGCCAGTTACCAGTCACACCGCTCTGTGTGAACAGTGACTCTTCTCTTCGCACCAATCTGTCCTCCTTTCTTCAACCCCGCCCCCAGCCCTTGATCAGCCTCCCCATTGCTCTATAGCTGGTCCTCTCACCTCTAGTCTTGCACCCTCACATTGCACAGGCCCCTCAGCACTCAGGTCTTCCCTAGAGCCTTTAACTTCCTGCCCTAGCTCAGTGCCCATATCCCTTAGCAAGCCATACAAGTCCCTATATCCCCACCTATAATCACATCACAGCACATCTGTCCTCCCTTCCCTGGGTACACTCTATAGGAAGATTTAACAGCAAGCCCCCTAAAAGAGACTACACCTACAGAGCAAAAGAGCTCCTAGCACATAGGATACACTCAATCAATCATTGTAAATGAATCCATGAAGAAATGAATGATGGTTTTTTAATGCTAACATTAAAGTATTACTTCTCATCCACCTTCCAACTCCTGCTACAAATTGTGCTCCAGATTTTTCTGTAACACACACACACACACGCACATGTATGATGTATGTGAAACAGACTCCACTCCTGACTCCCACAATGAGTGAGTCGCTCTGTGACCCAGGTGCCTTGAGAGTCACGCAGGAGGAAGCACATCAGTCAGTCAGGAGGAGGAGGCTAAGTCATCAGGTGCCTGGGAAATGAATACCCAGAAAGAACTTCAGTCTGAAAGCATTTAGTGCCGGAAGCTGTCGATCCAAGATATCTTAAGTCCCCATATCTTTTTCATGCTCTTTCCCTCACATCCTTTGAACTCTGAAGCACAGTTGTTTGTCCATATGCCCCAAGCACTACTTTTCTAGTCACCTAAGTGATCTGGTGATTTGGTTCCTATCCCACTGTATACTTTCTTCAGTCATACCCTATAACACATTGCAGAGAGTTAGCAATTTAGTATGATTCTATTTATGATTTTGCTACTTAAGAAGGTATTATATGTGGTCAGCAGAAACTGTACTTTAAATTTTGAATTTTAATCTTGTTTTAGCCACCTTCCCCACTGCTGGGACACATTATCTGACACACTTAAAGGAGGGGAGGCTCATTGGGTGCATAGTTTCCAGAGCCCGGTCCATGGTTGGCTGGCTCTAAGGCAGATGCTCATGGAAAAAGAGCATGGTAGGGAAAACCTGCTGAGTTCACAGCAGCTAGAAAGCAGAATAGGGAACAGCATGAGAGAGGAAGGGCCAGAAACTAGACATAGACCCAAAAATCACACCCCCATGACCCACCTTTCCTAACACCCTAGGCAGCCACATGCCCATCAAGTTAATAGTTGAGCTTGATCACCACAGATCTTTGCCTAGCTGATGAGAGCAGTGTGATACCTTCCCACAATGCTAGGAGTGGAGCAATCATCCAGTCATCTATGCATTTACAAGGTAAACACCCTGTGCTAGGCTAGGACTGCTGCAAAGATAAGTAGCTTAGGTATGTTAAATATAGTCTCAATGATATTTCCAACTTACGATAGAATCTAATTCCAACCTAAGGCAAGGAACATCTGTAATTTTTTTTAATAAAAGATGCTTCTGTGTGACAAGACATTTTCATCTACAATGCATTAGACATCTTTGCTATTCCTGAGACCCAATACACTACACTCACAAAGGAAGAAAGAAAAAGAAAGTTTCTAAGAAAAAGATTCTTAGTTACTTTTCTCATGTTGTGAGACAAATTACCTGATACCCAAAATTAAAGGAGGAAAGGTTTATTTAGCTCACAGTCTATGGAGGTTTCAAGCCATAAAGGGCTGGCTCCAAGGTGGAGTGGTTTAGGAGAGGGGCAACCATTTATGGTGGCAGTGGAAAATAACAAAAGCAGCAAGTGAGAGTGGAGAGACAAGCTTCTTCCTGTGCCTTATACACAGCCAGTCCACTGGGATGAGGGTGGTACCAATCCAATCTGTGAACTGATCCAGCAATCACCCACCCATAATCCCAGCATCCTTAATCTCAGCATTGCACTACGAATCAATCACCCACTCTAGATTGAGCCAGCTCTGGAAAAAAACCCTTATGACTGCATGAGGCTTAAGGGGGACATCCAGACACAAACCATAGCATTGTGTCCCTGTCCCAGCAGTGACTCATGCACAACCGTTTATGCAAAAAGCATTCAGTTCATCTTCAAGAGTCGCCAAAGCATAACAGTTTCAGCATTGCTGAAAAGTCCAAGTCCAAAGTCTCCTCTGATATTCAAGGTAAACTCTTAGCTATGAGCCCCTGTACAAATGAAAAGTTAATAAAACTACTCCAACATTCTATTCAAAAAGTTCATGGCAAGATGTGAACTCCGAAGACTTTGGGTGACTCCACCTCCATGGCACTTTCAGTTCTTGTAGCCCCAAGAGGCTTCTCTCTTGGCCTGCTTTGCTCCCTCCTTATTGTTCCTCAGACAATCCACATTCCTGGTTTCTCTAAACTTCTGGAATCTCCACTGTACCTCTGCTTCACACACACACTTCACACACTGCCCTCAGAGGCACACTGCCTGGCCTCCCAAGGCCTTCTGAAATCTAAATGGAGGCCTTCCTGAGGCCAAAACTTGCATTATTCACATGCATGCAACCAGCACCATGTGGATGATGTCAAGGTCTGCTGCCAGCTGGAGCAGTAACCAGGCTTCCTTCTTTCTTTTCTGTAGAGGGCAAATGCCTGGATTGCTGAGCACCCAGAATCAAATGTCAAGGAACAAATTATTCATGCTCAAAGAATTCTGGAAAACAGTTCACCGGGACTCTTTTTTGCAATTTTGAGGTTGCAAAGAGTAGAGTCCTACTGGTTTTTTGTGATGCGTTCAGGCCAACTTTTCTATTCTTCTTTTCCTTCTCAGCAACCAAGATCTCCTTTGTTCTGTTTTTGCTTACTAGAACTCCCTTTCTGGCCAAATTCACAATGTTTTACATCATTTTGCTGGGAATTCTTAATTCTCAACATAAATCTGGCTAAAAGCCCCCAACTGTAGCCATGCCACCATCTCAACATTTGACTGTCTTGAAATTTCTTATGCCACATTAATTGTTCCACAACCCTTAATCTTAGACTCAGG